GCTACACCACACAGACGCTGGAGGAGATGTCAGCGGTCGCAAGTGGTCGAGAAGAAGATTTCGAAGCGGCCTACGTTGTGGATTCAGTGGGAGAAATGCCGACTACGTTCAAGTCGGCGATGGAATCCAGCAACGCGGCCAAGTGGAAGGAAGCGTGCGACTCAGAAGTCGACTCTCTTCGCAAGAACATGACATGGTCGTTGGTGCCATTGCCCCAAGGTCGAAAGGCAATTGGTTGTCGTTGGGTGTTTCGCATCAAGGAGAACCAAGCGGGAGAGATCGAGCGGTTCAAGGCACGACTCATGGCCAAGGGATTTTCGCAGAAGTACGGCATTGACTACGAAGAAACCTTCGCGCCAGTCGCCAAGTTCACGTCGATCAGGATCCTGCTCAGTCTGGCGGCCAAGTACAATCTGACGGTGCACCAGATGGATGTCAAGACGGCGTTCCTAAACGGGCTGCTTGACGAAGATATCTACATGGTGCAACCGGATGGTTACACGGATGAAGAACATCCTGACCATGTTTGCCATCTCAAGCGCTCGCTCTACGGTCTTAAGCAGTCGCCACGAATGTGGAACCAGACCATTGACAAGTTCATGCTGGAGCTGGGGTTTAAGAAGTGTGAAGCCGATCACTGCATCTACGTCAAGTGGGATGACCAAGACATGATCTTCGTGGCTCTCTACGTCGATGATCTGGTCCTCGCCAGTAACAACGACGAGCTGCTCAAGTCGACGAAGAAGGCCTTAAGTGAACGCTTCGACATGACGGACTTGGGTTGCCTCAAGTACTTCCTCGGTATGGAGATCGATCAAGATGCGACTTCAGGAAAAGTGTCGGTGCGTCAGACCAAGTTTGCGAAGGACATCCTGGAGAAGTTTGGCATGGAGAACAGCAACCCTGTCAAGACCCCTCAAGACCCAGGACTCAAGTTGACCAAGGCCATGTGCGAAGGAGGATGCAACCATGAAGAGACCATGGCCAAGGTGCCTTATCGCAATGCTGTCGGCTGCCTGATGTACCTCATGGTTGGAACTCGACCGGACCTCGCTGCGGCAGTGGGAGTTCTTAGCCAGTTCGCGGCGGACCCGTGTCCCACACACTGGCAAGCACTCAAGCGCGTCTTCCGCTACATTCAAGGTACGAAGACGCACGGCATCGAATTTCAAGAAACAAGTGAAGAAGGACTCCAAGGCTACTCGGATGCGGATTGGGCTGGTGACGTCGAGACTCGACGCAGTACAAGCGGCTACGCGTTCATGATGAACAACGGGTGCATTAGTTGGAGAAGCAAGAAGCAGCGCACGGTGGCGCTGTCATCGACGGAGGCGGAGTACATGGCGTTAACGGAAGCTGCTCAAGAAGCGATCTGGCTCAAGGCATTCCTGTGTGAACTCGGCGAAATGAAGAACGAGGATTCTGTCATGATTTTCGAGGACAATCAAGGGTCGATTGCGCTGGCCACGAACCCCGAGTTAGATAAGCGCACCAAGCACATCGACATTCGCTACCACTTCGTGCGCGAGAAGGTTGAAGATGGCCAAGTGGTGTTGCAGTACTGCTCGACGAAGGACATGAAGGCGGATCGGATGACCAAGCCGATCACCGCGGTGCAGTTCGAATATCCTCGCAACAAGCTGGGTATCAAGCCACCAAGCGCGGTCGAGTCGAGTGGGAGTGTTGTCAAGAAGGCGTCTCGTCCAGCTTCGGCATACCAGTAAAACCGGTTTCCAAGGACCCCGCGATGTTTACGGTAAGTCAATTGCGCAAACGGATGTATGCGCAAACAGATGATTGGACGAACAGGATGATTGGACGAGTCCATGATTGGATGCACCAAATGATTGGATGCAGACTAGGACGTAAGACAGAGTAAGTTCCAATAAATCAATCACTTGCATTTTATCATCTTAGTGCACAAACCGACCTCCTTTTTTTGGGCCTCGTCGGGCACAACTGGTGTCATGCACAGCTTGAACAGACCTTTGCCTTCACGCGCGCCGAGCTTCCAGATGAGACCCTTTGCTTCCGCAAAACACCCATCCGTCTCGAACGTCACGGGACCAACATCCTTGGTGAAGCGACCAACCGAGAAGAGGTTGCGTGACAGCTTAGGAATGTGCCACACATTCGTGAGCACACCCTTCTTGGTCCCCCGTGGAGTCTTCATGGACATCACGATGTCGCCGGTCCCGACTGCCTGAACCACACCATCGTCCGCGAGATGTACGTCCACTGGAGACATCTTCTTGTAGTTCTTCATGTACTCCTTCGAGTACGTCATGTGCTGCGTCGCACCCGAGTCGACCAGCCACTTGTCACTTGACTTAGTGGTTTTGCTCTTACCACCAGCCAAGAAGAGAAACTCGCCCGATTCTTCTTCATCGCGCGCGACGTTTGCTCGTTGCGGCCTCTGTCGCTCCGCATTTTCACGAATCCTCACCGGACACTTGGCGATCCAATGTCCTTGTTCGCCGCAGTAGTGACACGCGCATGTCTTTGGCGCCTGTCGTCCCTTACGCTTCCCGTTGTCACTCGTCATGAACGCTTATCCGTTCGCGGCGCCGTCCGCACCGCCACCTTGCTCTTTGCGCTTCATGTCCTCATGCAGCAGCCGAGCCGTCACTAGTTCCCACGACAGTGAGTCAGCTCTCGACTCCAACGCCGTGATGAGGAACTGGTACGACTCGCTTAGACTTGCCAGAAGCGTGATCACCAAGTCGTCCTCGCTGACCGGAGCGCCCACTGCGTCGAGCTGCTCCGCCAGCGTCTTGATCTTGTTGATGTGCTCCAGCACATCATCACCTTCTTCCATCATCGTGGTGAAGAAACGTCGACGAAGGAAGAGTTTGTTCGCCAAACTCTTCTTCGCGAAGTGTCCTTCCAGCCTTGACCAGGCATCATGCGCACCATTCGCCGACCGAACCAACGGCAGCTGCGAATCCTCCATCGCGAGACAGATAATCGCCAGCGCCTTGCGCGACTTCCGCTTGAACGTCGCTTGGTCCAACGCGGTAGCGCACTGCTCCATCTTCAGTTCGCCACTGACGACTTCCCATAGGTCGCGCTCTTCCAGCACCATCTGCATCTTGAACTTCCACGTGTAAAAGTTGGTTCCGTCGAACTTGTTGATGCGGGCGGTCGCTGAAGTGGCGTCCATGGCGTAGGCGTAGTCTTGGGCAGAGTCTGCGGGGCTTGGGCTCATAACCAAAAGGAAGGTCGTTTGTGCACTAGATGATAAAATGCAAAGTGATTGATTTATTGGAGCTTACTCTGTCTTACGTCCTAGTCTGCATCCAATCATTTGGTGCATCCAATCATGGACTCGTCCAATCATCCTGTTCGTCCAATCATCTGTTTGCGCATACATCCGTTTGCGCAATTGACTTACCGTAAACATCGCGGGGTCCTTGGAAACCGGTTTTACTGGTATGCCGAAGCTGGACGAGACGCCTTCTTGACAACACTCCCACTCGACTCGACCGCGCTTGGTGACTTGATACCCAGCTTGTTGCGAAGATATTCGAACTGCACCGCGGTGATCGGCTTGGTCATCAGATCCGCCTTCATGTCCTTCGTCGAGCAGTACTGCAACACCACTTGGCCATCTTCAACCTTCTCGCGCACGAAGTGGTAGCGAATGTCGATGTGCTTGGTGCGCTTGTGAAACTCGGGGTTCTTGGCCAGCGCAATCGACCCTTGATTGTCCTCGAAAATCATGACAGAATCCTCGTTCTTCATTTCGCCGAGTTCACACAGAAATGCCTTGAGCCAGATCGCTTCTTGAGCAGCTTCCGTTAGCGCCATGTACTCCGCCTCCGTCGATGACAGCGCCACCGTGCGCTGCTTCTTGCTTTTCCAACTAATGCATCCGCCGTTCATCATGAACGCGTAGCCGCTTGTACTGCGTCGAGTCTCGACGTCACCAGCCCAATCCGCATCCGAGTAGCCTTGGAGTCCTTCTTCACTTGTTTCTTGAAACTCGATGCCGTGCGTCTTCGTACCTTGAATGTGTGGTGAAGTGCTTTCTCAGAAATAAGAGAATGGTCCTGACGCGGGGTCACTATCCCGAATCAGTGACAATTTCAAGTGATTATAGAGGATTTGGGTTGTTTGGCACGGGTGCA